TCCATATGCTGTAATGGAATAATTCTTGTCTTGATCACCAAAGTACTTCAGGAGAACAAGATTACCAATTATTAAATTAATAACAGTGTGATGTTAATAATTTCATTTCAACATAAACTTCTTTTAGTTGAAATTCAAGAATTTATTCACTTAAATGTATCTTTTTAATTTACAGACATTCCTACTGAAGTTCAGTTTCCACACAGTGTCACAAACAAAATATCTATAAAATGCAGTGCACCCACCAAAAAAAAAAAAAAAAAAAAAGCACCCCCCAAAAAACCAACACAGAACACTTTTAGAGTAAGGGCTTATTCACAGGGAGGAAAAAAAAAAAAACAGCAACAACTAACAAAACAAACAAGCAAAAATAAAACCCAAGGGGCTTTGGTTTGGTCCTTTTTGTGTGTCGTCCCCAACCCCCCCCCGCCTTGCCCTGTCACCAATAAATCTATGAATCTTGGCAAGCAGACAAGACAAGTAACCTCAGAAGAGAACAAACCTGTCAAGACTCCTTAATGTTTACTGCAAGAGAAAATGAATTATTTTTAACACATACTAAACCATAGTGATCACAAAGGAAAAAGCACGCCTCTCTATAATCCCCCTATTTCTGGGTCTGCTGAGTTTGTAAAGGATTTTTTCCCTTACCAGCAGGTTTGATTGTTACACTTTCCAGTAGGCCATATAAACAACAATACTGAAATAGCACTAGCCCTTGATAAAGTACTACCACGCATATAACCTTGATACAGTACCCATAGAGACAGAGGTCTGTATACTTCTGTACTTTCCAAAATGAGGAAGCAAAGGCAACAAGCCTTGTTTTCCATCTTATTTTACAAAGCTATTGTAATCAAACACTGTGCCAGTGGAATTTAGGAATTATAATATTATTTTCAATTTTTAAAATGCAATCAAACGCTCCTGTGCAGATCCCAAGAGACATCTAATAGAGTGACTAGTCCAGCAGTTCTTATTAGACTTTCTAATACTCAGAAGGAGAAAAAAAATCAGTCTTTTGGCTGACAAATCTGATAACCACAGAAGAGGGACAGTTAGTGAAGACTACTCACAAAACCACAAAGATCACCTTGAAGAGATCACCAAGCATCTGAGGAATGGAAAGACTTATTCATAAAAAATACCTGCCTTTGAAGTAGATATTTTGAAAAAGAGTCACTGTGTCTTTGCATTCAGTTCATCCTGGCTATCAGCACATGTGTACTTAATCTACAATTTAACACATTAATTTCTACAATAATGGATATTCATTCCCTTTCTTTCTGCAAATCTGGTGGAGGAGGACAAAGCATAACACAAATTATCAAAATATGCAGTGCAAATTTTCAAAATGCAAGATTTTAAGTGTCATGTCTGGAGTTAAAACAGAAGTATAAGATTCCACTAGAAACAGTCTTCATGAAAAATAATTTTATTTGGGTATTTATATGAAATATTGTATTTTAAATATAAAATCCAACAAACGCAGCTCCAAAGAGCCCAAATCTGTAATCTGAAGGCCCTAAACCCACTTGTATTAAGGGTGTAAACATTTCCCTTCCTATATGCCACCAAATGAAGACACTGCACAGAAACACATCAGTGAAACACTGTATTAGAAAATCAAGAGGTCTGTTCTGAAGGTAATGGTAAGGCAGCACCACCCTAACAACAAATCACTGGCAGGCTTTGCAATGCAGCAGAACATAAATCTCCATGCAGCCGTCACACAACGACCTCCTCATCTGGCACAGAGGGAGCAGAAAGCTCTGCTTCACTTGAGCTTTACTTCTAAGGCTCTGCCTCCTCCTGAGAAAAGTCGGGTTCCTGCTACTCTAGCATTATCCACATCATTCCTCCTTTCAGGAACAGCGTAAAACCTCACCACCTGAGATATTAATATGCGCAAGCAAAACTTATAAAGCTTTCTTATTTTTAATCTTCAGCTTCTTAAACCAGTACACTAGAGAAAGCTATGAATTAGGAAGATAGTGGTAAATTAAGTAAGTAAAGCATTGCTCGGTTGCTTAACATCTAGAGATACCTTTGCAGTTTTCCCCAATTATTAAATAAAAAATCCCACCCACCCTTCTTACCCCGTGGTATCAGTTTGTCCCCATGGCTTACACTGTTCATGTAAACTAAAACATTTTTGAAAAAACCCTTTGCTCACACTTCTGTGGCCTATGTGCTACACAAGTTTGGGGACACTGTGAAACCTCAGATTTGCGAAACAGTAGAAACAAAGACAACTAAAGGCTCGTACTTTCAATTCAGAACCATTGGCCACCTTTCACAGTAGAGCACTCATCTACCCCAAACACCTGATAATCTCTGCATTCCGAATTTCCATAGTGCAAAATATAGTTGTGGGATTCTGCCTGGATTTTAGAATCAGTATTTTACGTTTCGTCTGTTTTTTTACACATTTAGATGTGTGTGAACTTACCTATTTTCTCTAATATAAAAGTATTTGGATTTTTCCCTGGAACTGCCAACACTTCAAAACCTTTTTATATTTCCATTTTCCTGGGTTTTAAAATGTGTATTAAATTCTACTTTGCAATATGAAAATCCAATGGAAAGTCACAAGAAATGGTTCGAGTAATTTTTATCCCGTCCCACCTCACGCTGCACAGTAATCTCCCACAACAGCACCTCTACTCAAGCTACGTAGTTCTGCTCTTCTGAAGAGAACTGCAATTTTAAATGCAACAAAATCTGAAGTAAAAGCTTTTTACATCTTTCAGAGAACAACGGGCTTCTCTATACACGGCCCAAGAGGGGGCCTACTAAAAAGAGCTCACATCCAAGGGCAGCAACAACTTCTACTACTGAAGAGCAGAGCACCTGAGTACTCTGTATGTTCCTGCTAAGAGCCCAGACACACTTGTCAGCTGTTTAGTACATAGAAGGGAAGGGTAGAAACTGAAAGTAATACAAACACTCTGTGAGGTGGAACAGGACAATATAAAATGAATCCTGTTGGATCCATTTTAAAGTTAATGGCATTCCTGCATACAAAACTGAGAAGGTTACCTGCTGAGTCTCAAGACACTGCAATGCCCCTACTGTCACAATCCTAGAGCCTACCAATTTTCCTCAGTTCTTCTGCCTTTCCACAGATGACTTTCACTTTCAGGATTCACAGTACTTGCTTGCTTGCTTGACTTCACCACTACTTAACTTCAGAGATCAGATTTCCTTAATATACTAAAAAATACACCCCAGTCCTACCAGAGGGGATTTCCACATACTTACCAGCAGATAACTATTACTGACAGACATCCATTTGTACACGTGGCAGTTCAAAGTATAAAATGAGTTTTAATGAGCTAAACCATATCCAATCCAACTTTAATTACAGATCAGTTATATACCTTAAGAACCTCGGCTTGTGTGCCTAGGTGCAAGTCACACAGAAATTAAAGGAAGTAGCAAGAGAAAGGAATTAAGATAATAGTTGCCAGCACTGAGAAAATCCTCAGGAATGTGTGGCTGCCACTCAGTTAGTTAAACAAAGACAAAAAATGCTAATGTACTCATAAAGTGAACAAAAAAGACGGGTAAGGTAAAGCCTACTCCACCAACACAAAATGAGGGAGGAAAAGAACTGCAGAATTACGTCTTTTTTCTCTGTTACATCAAATATTTAACAGCACTGTTCTGTTCATACTATTGTATAAAGGGATAGATTTAAAACCCCAAGTTTTTAGTTGTTTACACACTTTATACTTAGCTTGCTATTCCAAGAACACTGTTTAGAAAAATGACATTTTTATCCTACCACAAGTTCATGATGATTCATAAGCAACCTCAAATCCTTACAAAGTAAGATTTATTTTCCTCTGCCCGCTTCTATGACAAATCTGTAGTTTAGCTTTCTTTACATTAAACCCACATATCTGCATGATTTGCTGAAAACCCACATATTTAACCAAGCAGCTTTTCCAAAGATTACTCTCATAGTTGTGTTTACCAATAATAATAATCTAGTCACACAATTATCTAGACACCATTTTAACAGAAATAACTGTAAGGTACAGTATACTATTACAAATGTAATTAGCCTTAAACAGGCTTATGCTACAAAAAAGGTTATTACTGATTAGTAATATATATACATACATATACAAAACCCCAAAACCTGCTGAAATATAATCCCGGGCCAGTGAGCTAAAACATTAACTGTAATTTGCAGTAACCGGTGTGCTTTTCAGGCAAATATCACACCCAAATGCAAGTCTGAGATGTAATAAAAACCCCAGTATTCAAGCCAAGAAATCCAACTTATGCTCACATCAAAAAAACACAGAAATCTTCATTTTGAGTGGTAACACCAGGACTAGTGAAAACACAGGCAATTCTGAGATCCATGCGCCACTGGTAGTTCTTCTGTTGAGATCACAGTCACCTGCAGCTTCATTTCTTTAAACCTATTGCGTATTTTTGTTTACCAACACTGAAAAGGTCAAAAACTACTCAACAGTTTGGAGGGAGAGGGTAAAGAGCAAAGTTGCTATTCATTTTTCCAGTGCAGAAAATAATTATTCACCTTTATGCATATTTCCTTGTACTACCCTTACTGGCACAGGTCAGTTTTAAATACAGCCTTCTGCTTTGCCAAGAAGTAGTACGAAAACCAAGAATACACACTCACATATTTGAGTATGTTGCTACACCAACCTACTACAAAGAGGAGTTCTCAGCAAGTTTATTAGCTTTTAACACGTGCGTAAATATGACATTTCATATGACTAAGTCTTTTTAATAATTAGGGGCTTAAGACTAAAATTTATCAGTTTAAAGTTAAATTTTATAATCCATGTTAGCAAAAGAGTACATTAAAAAAGAAAGTAGAAACAAACCTAAATACACTTTATCTCTTACTTTTCCATTTTATGAGAGGAGAATATTTTCGCATGCCAGCCTCATGAAGAAGTAAATGAGTACCTCTACTGCTATTCACCACAACGAAAGTGAAGAAACTAACTTACCTTTAACACTTTTTCTGTTAACATCAGCTCCTTTTTCAAGTAAATACTGAGCAATTTCTTTGTGGCCCTTGTAACATGAGATCATCAAGCAGGTATGCCCGTGACGGTTTGATACTTCCAGGTCTGCTTTGTGCTCCACAAGGTACTTCACTATTTCCAGATGGCCATCAAAACAGGCAGCTCTGAGCGGCGTCGAATTTGTCAGGGTCGTGTTGTTGACAGATGCACCGTGATCCAACAGACACTGAACCACCTTCAGGTGGCCAGCGGCCGACGCTGCCCACAGCGGCGGAGCCCCCTCGATGGTCTCGCCATCAAAATTCACCGAACCACCAACTTCTATGGACGCAGAGCAATGGTCCAACAGGTACTCCACCATGTCGAGGTGACCGTAGCGGGCTGCCATCAGAAGTGGTGTGGCACCATTGGTTTTCTCTGACATCAGTTGGGCCACCTCTTCCCTTGTTTTGCTTGCCAGTAGCTTGGAAAGGAGCCGCAGCTTGCCATCACGAGCTGCGTTGAAGACTGCTGTCTTTAGATCCATTTAGTCTGTACCTCTCTGCTTCCTGAAGGATACACGCCTGCCTTTTTCAGAGTCAAGAGCTTAATGGAAGCGCTCAGCCCAAACAGAACGTCCCCAGCTTCTTCTCAGATCAGTCTCATCTCGATGGGACAACATGGAGACTCCAAACAGGGTCCTGACGAAGCGCAGGCTGTGCTTGTCATAAATCTGCAGAAGGAAGAACTCTCAATGTTTTCACCTCCTATTTGGCAAACAAGTAACCGCATTGTGTTTTCCAGCAGCTATACCCAAACAAGTCGCTGCTGTGGCGCGCCAGCGTCCAGCTGCATTCCATGGGACTCCTGGCCGCGCGGTGGCCCCTGAGGAAATCTACTGGGGGGAAGGAGGCCGATCCTACCAGCGTGTTATCCATACCAGCCACAGAACGATCCTCATCTCCCTTCACCGCGCTCCGAGCCGCCCCCCTGGCTCGATTCGGAGCGCACCCCGAGCCCAGAGCCCCCCGCTTCCGCCGGGAGCCCCAAGGACACGCACCCCCAGGAGAGAGCCGGCCGGGGAAGGCGCCAGCGGGGCAGAGCCGCGGGCGGCGCGGAGAGCCCGAGCCCGCCGCCCCCCTCACGGCCGCCCCCTGTGCGCCCAGAGCCCGCCGGCCCCCTCCCTCTCTCCCTCCTTCCCCTCACGGCACCCAGCCCGCCCCACTCGCCTCTCCGGAGCCGGCCGGAAAGGGCGTTCAGACCGCAGGTTACCTTCCCGGGGCGCTCCGGGCCGGCTGCTGTTCCCGCCGCCCTCAAACAGCCGCGCCCGCCGCCGCCGCCCGCGCTCGGCTCTGCGCCTCCATGACAGCCTGGCCCCGCCCCCGAGCCCGCCCCGCCCCGCCGCTGCCAATCGGCGCTGGCGCGCGCCCGCCAGCCAATCACAGAGCTGCCTGGGGCGGGACTACGCCGCCGCTGGAGGGCGGCGGGGAGGGGGCTCGGGCGGGCGGCCGCCAGGGGGCGCCGGGGCGCTCCCGCTCCGCTGGGAGGGGGGAGGCGGGAGTGAGGGCAGGGGGAGCCCGGCTTGGACGGACGGGGTGCGCCTGGTGTGGGTGGGGTGGTGTGTGTGTGTGTGCTCTCGGTATATATGATACTCTGTCCGGTTCTGGGCTCCTCAGGACAGGAAAGACAAGGAGCTACTGGAGAGGGCCCAGCAGAGGCCTCAAAGATGGTCAGGGGTCTGAGGCATCTCCCATGTGAGGAGAGACTGCTGGTGCTGGGCCGGTTCAGTCTGGAAAAGAGAAGGCAGAGGGGATTTCATCAATACATACAAGTATCTCCAAGGCAGGTGCCAGGAGGATGATGCCAGACCCTTTTCAGTGCTGCCCCGTGACAGGACAAGGAGCAACAGCCATAAACTTAAACACAAGAAGTTCCACCTCAACATGAGGGAGAACTTTACATTGAGAGTGGCAGAGCACTGGAACAAGCTGCCCAGGGAAGTCGTGGAGCCTCTCTCTGGAGACATTCAAAACCCACCTGTACCAATTCCTGTGTCACCTGCTCCAGGTGACCCTGCCTTGGCAGGGGGGTTGGACTGGGTGATCTCCAGAGGTCCCTTCCAGCACTAACAAGTTTGTGGTTCTATGATTGTGTATATATATGCTTCATTAATTAATAAATTTTGGGTTAAATGTCCAGTTTTTGCAGCACAGAGGATGCTCTAGCCCTGGACATTGTCGCTGTTTGGTGCAAAATTTGCTTTTCTTGATTGACATTGCTTAGCACTGGATGTTGGCTTTATTCCTATGATAATAGAAAGGGAGAAAGGTTTTAAAAGAGCAGAAAAATTTCTGTCACAACAAAGCATGTTACCTGCAGGCCTCAGAAAGGAAGAACACCACATACAGGAACAAACTCAGAGAAGGACCATGAACATTAATGGGCAGTAATTTGGACATCAGTTTGGAAAAGAATCTAGTGTTCTTCTTACTCCAAAAGGAGGAGGGGGGGGGAGGGACGTGAGCAAGAGAGAGAACAGTTCAATTTGCAATTTTTAAAAGCAATATATTTCAGCCTAGGTGGCCCTTCGTCCCTTTGCACCCTGTGCTGGCAAGGTGGTGCATAGGCTGCTGATTGTTCTGTCTGCAAACCTCAGGAGCAGAACGATCAAAAGACAACAGTTGGGAATTTAGAGAAAAGCAATCAAAACTCTTAAGCAGCCGATGGTATTAATTTATGGAGAGAGATTAAAAGATGTAACTGTGTGTAAATGCTAAATTAGAAGTAAGTGGGGGTAAGAAAAAAAGAGAACTTTTTCAAGAGATGTGAGTGGAATGAAGGAATCCTTTAAAGAGCTTTACAAGCTGTAGTCAACAGCAATTGGGAAGAAAATGAACAGAGGAAAAGGCATACTTATCATCAAAAATAAGTAGGCTCTGTCAAGCCAGAAAAATAATTTTAAAATTGTGGGAGGAAATTGATAGAGTCATGATGGGGTGTGCAAATTGTATCACATGTAAATAAGGTGCAATAGGGAACAGTTCTGTGCCAGAGGGAACATGGAGAGAGCTGAGAGGCCTTCCCCCTTCAGTCTCTGGAGTTTTCAGGGCAGGTAGCACCAGTGGACCTGCAAACTACATGGCAGTGGGCACAGTAATGCTTCTATGGATGTCAAACACAGATTGTCCTCACTCCCTCCCAGCTCTGAATTAGGCTAAGACCTGGGAGAGGGTCCTGGGGAGGAAAAATGGTTAGGTAGGCCAGAGGGAAATAGGAATGGCTTCTGCTGAGACCTGCCACCTGAACCATGGCAGATCAATCCTTGAATGTGAGCACAAGGCACACTCAAGGGGAGTTTAGGCCCTCCCTGTCAGACCACTGGGATTCTTGTTTAAATAAAAATCTCAGTCTCCTGTGGCAAATAATAAATCTGTCTTGGTATTTCAGAAATCTGCCTTAGAATCATGAGGTATAGGCTTCTAAGAATTAAGCAGAGAAATGAATTATTAAAGATAATTTTACAAAAGATATACTTCTTAGTATATACATCTTTCATACCTCAGTACACATAGGTCTTAAGAACAATTTAATCATATTTATATTTTTAAAAGGACATTCTCATGGCATAAGTGGATTTAGGAAAGTCTGACAATGTGGCTGCATCCTGACTACTGTTCTAGGAGTTTCACACTTTCACACTGACCCCCCTGCTTGTCACTACCTGGCTCCTGGGGGCACTGGGAGCCAGCATGGTGTGGCCCCAGCCAGCACTTCCCCACCACAGTATTTTTCTGACTCCCAGGAAGAACCTAAGCCCTACCTCCAAAGGTAAAAACTAAATGTTTTGACCCAGTGTACCTGAAACACAATGAAAAATAAGAAATACCAATCCCTTCTTTAAGGTTTCAGCTTTAATCTTTTGTGTTATAGGAACACATAGCCAGGGACATTTTAATCTGTCTTACCTCCCCCTCTCTTTGGCCCCATGCTGGATGTAGGAAGAATGACTGCATGTCCATGGAGAAGAGAGGTGTTTCTGTCAGGCTGAGATTTTTGGTGGTGCCCCAAACATAGCCCATGCCGTAGAAAAGACCAAGTTAGCCTTGATGCTTGTTCACTTTAGTAGTTTGCTTCTCTGAAACCCTCTGGTTTTGAAAGCTGTGAATGCAGAACGGTGTTAAGTGAAACAATAACATGTTGCAATGACTTAGTTCTCACTTCAGGGTATTCTCATCCTCACAGCTGTTCACAGTAGACAGCAGAAGGGATTTTTCACATACACAAGAGACTAATGTGCTACCCACCTTGAAGACACCTATGGTTTGGTGTGGAATGACACAGTGTCTCACAGACCAGTGCTTTACTGTTGCATTCACATCCTTCATTCCAGACTGAAAAAGAGATGTTCATTTTGTGTACAAATGGTAGCACCATATGGAAAAAATGGTCACTAAACCATTCTTGACAGAGTGCTTGGTCTCAACCAGCTGGTCGGTTTTCAGGATTGCCATCGATAATACTTTGGAAGTCAAACTCTGATTTCAACAAGAGATAACGGTTGCAAAGCGCTGTATAATTTAGTTCCAACCCTTCACTTCTTTTTCCCTATGTCCCTAGGTGCAGAGATTTCTTTCTTCTTGAAGAAGATATGCTCAGCAATACAGCAAAGAGAAACCTCTTCTACATTTCAGTTGTTAGTTTTGGCACTAGAAGCAATATATATACATTAATACAGTGATTTCCTCAACATTTTTATCTCGATTTTGGTCAGGTAACAGGTGGTGGTCCCAGCATGACTATACTTCTGTTAGGCCCTGAGGTAACTCAGAAAACTCCATATTGCATTTTGCAAGGTGGACAGGCAGTCCAGCTGCTCTGTGTGGTATTTGTAGTGTGTGTCTTACCTAAATTGCTACCCAGTCACCTATACAGATCTGGTTGAGAGCTAGGTCAGGAAGGCCTAGGGTGTTGCCAGTACAGGGTATTAGACCAAGTAGGCTTCCAGAAAGGGGAGCTGGAGCAAACGGCAAGCTCAGCAGAGAGATGCCTAAAGCATTCGTGACCAAATGCTTGAACGTGAGCTGAGACCAAATTATTCTATAAACTGAAACATCTGCTCAAGCACAGCCTGAATCTGAGGTCTTCCGTGAGGTACTCTGGCCACTGGGCAATGAGGTGGGGACGGCAAACTCCTGTCAAAAAACTTACTGCTGCAAAACTTACTTTAGTAAAGCCCCTTCGTGGCTGCCATGTCTTTGTCAGCCCTGGTGGGCTGAGACAACCCTGAGGCAGTGGGAGACTCGTGCAGTGGGGAGAACTGGCCAGGGTGTGACAGAGTGCTTCCCTGCGCTGGGGTGAAGGTTCCAGCAATATCCGCATGTCTGCTCCACGAAGTATCCCTCTCTTATCCAGGCAGAAAGCACCATATGCCTTAGACACAGGCTCAGATTGGGGAAATTGCATGCAAGAGGTAGTTGCATATTTAGGCTAAGTCTCCTAAAATGTGATTGCTCACATTAGGTGACACTAGTGATCCAGACGTTCACCCTTCAGTCTAAAACCTGACCCCTTCATTTGCAAGTGCACTATGGACAAACAAGATGACAAAGTTTCTGCTTTTTTAGCTGGAACTTCTTGTTTCTATTGTCCTGTCAGTAAAATTCTGGGAGTAAAATTCATTAGTTGTTGTGTAAGAAAAAATATTGTGCAGAATGGTGCTAAAATTGTAAGAGAGATGGCTAGATGCGTGAGTTGGAAGGATCTGAAAAGTTTTGGCAGGTTTGCTGAACCCCTGTGAGCTGTGGGCTTTCCTTGTCCTTTGGCGTTTAAATCACAGTCAACAGCAGAAACTGCAGTCTGCCTGTGGACACAGACTGAGACAGAGAAGTCTGGTCTTGGGAAGTACCTCATTTCTTAAGAGGAAATAGGCATCTCTACCTATTTACCCTGGAGTGTAAGAGAGAGGTTTTGTTTCCAGTGAAGTCAGATAAGCCAGAGTTTTTTATCCCTCTATCCATAGCAATACTTGGCTCTCTCATTTTCTCTAGCTGTACTATGAAAACAGAAAATAAGGAAACAATGATAATCAGTTTGTTTAAAATTTGTAAAAAACTTTACAAGTAATATTAATTTTATAAGCTAATAAAGTATACAGTTGTATATGTGTATGTATGTATATATTTGCATACAATGGAATTAATTTATAGATTAACTTCCACACAATAGTTTAGTAATAGGGAGACACTACAGGACACAGGTTCTATGCCACATGATATGGGCATTTCTAACAGAAATAAATAAGGCAGTTTCACAATTATCATCATAAAGGATTTCAGAGTTTTTAAACAGTCTAATTAACCTACATCTTTCCTCACAATTCTGGTATTTTACGTGCAATCTGCAAAATTTCCTTTCCTCTCTCCACTGCCTTGATGCTATTTCAGGAGGTTGAAAGTACATTGACAGGGATTGCAATTTTCAGAAATTCAAACATTTATATTTTTAAAACTGGTGGAGGTTGTGCACCTAGCTTTTAAGACAGTATTTGCCAAGCTGTTGAA